TTCTGTCCTCAATTCTCTATTCTCTCTCTCATCTGTCCCTCTCATCTCCTCTCCCTATCCTATCCCTCTCCCTATCCCTATCCTCTCCCTATCCCTCTCTCCCTATCCCTATCTCCCGCTCCCTATCCCTCTCTCGCCGCTCCTCTCCTTCTCCTCCCTATCCCTCTCTCCCTCTCCCTATCCTTCTCTCCCTATCCCTTTCTCCCTCTCCCTCTCCCTCTCCCTCCCTCTCTCTCTCTCCAACTTTTCTGATAAAACTCGAGAAATTCCTCGCAGTCAAACACTTCAACGCTCAGCCCTTTCCCCAAAATGGGTCAGATAGATTAATAGATATATTTATGTGTCAAAACGTATGTCGATATTTGCTTATTTGCATCTGTATATTCATGTATCTGTATCTGCATCTATATCTGCGTCTATGTTTTATCTAGATTTATATACATGTCTGTAGATATATCTCTATCTACCATATCTACATGTGAATATCTATGTATCTATCTATATATTATACACAGACACAGACACATACACAGACACACACACACACACACACACATACACACACACACACACACACACACACACACACACACACTATATATATATATATATATATATATATATATATATATATATATATATATATATATATATATATATATATATATATATATTTATATATATATTCATATATGTATATATACATATACATATACATATCCACATCTACATATTTATATCTGTAACTATATATTTATAACTATATTTACACATACATCTACATATTTACATTTGTATATATGCTTTTCTCTTCAGGTCTTTTGAAAATGGGCAAAATCAATAAAAATAAATAAAATAAAATAAATATAACAAACATGAAATAAACAGAGAGAGAGAGAGAGAGAGAGAGAGAGAGAGAGAGAGAGTGTGTGTGTGTGTGTGTGTGTGTGCGCGCGCGCGTGCGTGTGCGCATGCGTGTTCGCGTGCGTGTGCGTGTGCGCGTGCATGTGCGTGTGCGTGTGCGTTTGTGTGTGAATTAATTTTAGTATGACTGACATTTGGATAGATAAATGCAGATACAGATGTGAATATAAATGTATAGATGTATAGAAAGATAGATAGATAGATAGAGAGATAGAAAGATAGACAGATAGATAGATAGGGTCATGAGCTGCAAAACATCAACAGCAGGAAAGCAATTGAAAAATGCAACGAGTTTTGATAAGATTTTTGATAAGATACATTTGATGATGAAATTTAGTACACATATTTTTAACGGCATTTTTTTTCAAATATTTCATAGATATTCATGGGATGTCAAAACAAACAAACAAATGCATCTACGTACAAATATTTTATGTTTGTAAAAAGGCATATACATTTCACGTTTTGAAAATTAAAAAAAAAAAAAAAAAAAAAAAAAGTGCTTTTGGTAACCCACACATTTTCAATTTATATATGATTGGTTTCATTGTTTTTATAACAAGTTTGATTTTTGTTGAGGGTAACATGCCTGGTTTTGAAAAATTGGTTATGCCGTTTGCGAGTGCATGAGGGCAAAGGGAACTTTAATCATTAAAATAACTACATGACAGACCTTATTGTTCTTGTTGTTGTTGCTGTTATTGTTACAATTATCATTATTATTATTATTATTATTATTATTATTATCATTATCATTATTATTGTTACCATTATCATTTTCATTTTCATTATCACTTTCATTATCATTATCGTTATCATTATCATTATCATTATCATTACCATTGTCATTATTATTATTATTATCATTATTACTATTATTATCACTATTATCATTGATAATATTATCATTATTAATATTATTATTATCATCATTATTATTATTATCATCATTATTATTATTATCATCGTTATTACTATCATTGTTATTATCATTATTATTGTCATTATCATTATTACAGCCAGTACTACTACAATAATAATTATTATCGTTTTCATTTTACTATTTTCGTAATAATTAGTTATGAATGAATATTTACTGTAGTAAGTCTCTGAGTCTATTTAGTATTATCATCATTATTATTTTTATTATTCTTATCATTATCATTACTATAATGTTCTTATCATCATTATTATATCAATACTATTATCATTATATTCAGTATCATTATCATTACCATTATCTTTTAATTATCACTATCATTATTAATATCACCATCATCATCATCATCATCGTTATCGTCATAATCATTATCATTATTATCATTATTTGTCTTTATTACTACTAACATTCCCACCAACACCACTATAATTACCATTATCATTATCATTATTATCATTACCATCATCCCTATTATTAAGCTTATCATCATCATTATTGTTATCATCATTACTTTCGTATTTATTAGTATTATTACCAGAACCATCACAAAAAATCATTATCATCAGCATCATCACTTATTTTACCATCGTTATCATCAACGTCATTAACGAAAGAGCTCGAGAGGAAAAAAAAAAGAAAATTCTTGCAAACTCATAGCACACAATAGCAACGAAGTAACTAATCTTTGCAATCCATTCCCCAGAGTCTGCAACGCATTTATAACTTTTACAACTTTGCAAACTCATTGCAAAACTTTGAAAATCTACCTGCAGTTTATATCGCCACTTAATAAAGGTATATTTTAATGCGCTGTGTTTAGCTTTTAATGTTGATTGCAATGGCGGTCATGTTGAGGATGATCATGATGATAACAGTGCCGATATCTAAAATTAAATAAATATTATCAATTATCATCATTAACACAGTTATTAATAGTATTTCTTCTACTACTACTTGTATTACATTTACTACTATTACTATTATTACTGTCACTACCTGTACTATTACTACTACGATATTTTATACTGCTATTATTTCTTCTTCTTCTACTACTACTACTACTACTAATGATGATGATAATAATATTAGTAATGATAATGAAAATAATAAGAATAGGAATAAGAATAAGAATAAGAAGAGTAATCATCATCATCACCACCATCATCATCATCATCTCATCATCATCACCATCATCATCATCATCTCATCTTCATCATCCTCACCATCATCACTATCATCATCATCACCATCATCATCATCACCATCACTATCATCATTATCACCATCATCATCATCATCATCATCACTATCACCATCATCATCATCTCATCATCATCATCATCACCATCATCACTATCATCATCATCACCATCATCATCAAAACAATAATAACATCAGCTAACCATAACCATAAAAGTAACGTAACAATAACAATAACAATGACCTAAAAAAAAATATTATGTATTTGTTTTCGTTGTTACCATCATCACGATCTTAAGATATCGAGGAGAACAATATCTATTTCTTTGTTGTGTTTGTTATATTTTGTTATCATTACCCTCAAAATATTTTTTGTTAATGTTTTTGGTCCTCTTGTCGTTGTGTAAACATATCACTATGTTACTCTTTCACAAAGAAACGAGGTTGGTGGTTTTTTTTTTGTCATTTTTATATTTTTTTGGTTGTTGTTTTGAATACTGTTTTTGTTATCACTGGCGGTGGCTACGTCATTGGTACAACTGGTACATTGATGAAATTATTCATTTGATTAATTGAATCATTTCATATTTCCGTTAACTGTTTTTTTTTTCTTTTTTTTTTTTTTTTTTTTTTTTTTTTTTTTTTTTACTGTATTAGATTTGGTAAAACAAGTTTGAAGTTGATGCATTAGGGAAAGACTGGTAGAGAATGTTACTGACAGGTAGTATTGAATATGACGCTGTGTGTGTGTGTGTGTGTGTGTGTGTGTGTGTGTGTGTGTGTGTGTGTGTGTGTGTGTGTGTGTGTGTGTGTGTGTGTGTGTGTGTGTGTGTGTGTGTGTGTGTGTGTGTGTGTGTGTGTGTGTGTGTGCGTGTGCGTGTGCGTGTGCGTGTGTGTATGCGTGTGCGTGGGTGTGGGCGTGTGTGTGCGTGTGCGTGTGCGTGCGGAGATTGACTAACAGATAGATACAGATATAGAAATATGTGGTAATAAGTGTCTGTTTATCTCTATCTATCTATCTTTACCTATCCATCTATCTATCTATTACGATCGCTTTCTCTTCCTGCCAAATGAACTTCTTATTTTTCACGTGAAAGGAATACCCGACGCAGCACAATAAAACAGGGAAAGAAGAGGAGACTAAAAAAACGTATTTGAATGAAGAAATATTTGATGAAAAAAATGGTTAAAAGACACAGAAGAAACAGAAAAAAATAAATTCTTTACTGCTTGGAAATTTAGCTTCGTGTGTGTAACAGACACTGAGAGAAACACACACACACACACACACACACACACACACACACACACACACACACACACAGAGAGAGAGAGAGAGAGAGAGAGAGAGAGAGAGAGAGAAAGGGGGCGAGAGAGAGAGAGGGGGCGAGAGAGAGAGAGCGAGAGAGAGAGAGAGAGAGAGAGAGAGAGAGAGAGAGAGAGAGAGAAGAGAGAAAGAAAGAGAGAGAGAGAGAGAGAGAGAGAGAGAGAGAGAGAGAGAGAGAGAGAGAGAGAGAGAGAGAGAGAGAGAGAGGGGGGGGAGAGAGAGAGAGGAGAGAGAGAGAGAGAGAGAGAGAGAGAGAGAGAGAGAGAGAGAGAGAGAGAGAGAGAGAGAGAGAGAGAGAGAGACCGAGAGAGAGAGAGAGAGACCGAGAGAGAGAGTGAGAGAGAGCGAGAGAGAGAGAGAGAGACAGCGAGAGAGAGAGAGAAAGAGAGAGTAAGAGAGGCAGACAGAGAGAAGAGAGACAGAGACAGAGACATAAACAGAGAAACAAAAAAAGAAAGAAACGTGCACGGTTTATGAACACACAGAACACGCACACATCATGTACACACCTAAACATATACATACCACGTGTTCATCTTTCACCACGGAGTCTCCACATAAAAATACACACCTAAATGTTATCATGAACACTATGAACACTGTACTCACCAGACAAGTTTGGCGAAACAAGCCTGCATCGACATCTTTTCTTTTCCTCTTGCTGGTTCTCTCTTCTCCTTCCTTTCTCTTGATTTATTTGTGTTTGCTTGTCTCTCTCTCTATTTTTTTCCCTTTTTTTGTCTTGTCTTTCCTCTTTCTTTCTTTCGTTCCTTTCTCTTTTTTTGTTATTTTCGAATGCACAAAATTCTTTTTTCTTTCACTCTTTTTTTTATTATTCTCTTTCTCTGTATCTCTCTACTTTTCCTTTTCCCTTATTTCTTTTCTCTATCTTTCTCCTTCCTTTCCTCTCCTTTCTGTCTGACTCTCCTTTCGTCTCTCTTTCTCAACCATCATCCCCTTCTCTTCCTTCTCCCTTTCGTCCTTGTCCCCACGATCGCCAAAACACTTTAAAGGAAGGTGGGAGGAGCATGACGTCAGATCACGTGACTTGCATCCTGGCGGGACGGAACATCTGATGACGTCACTGTGGGTCAGATCACGTGACTCACTTGATGACGTCAGAACTGCATCACTCTTTGCTTTTCGTTCACGTTAACGAACCAAGGGAAGCAAGAGAGAGACAGAGAGAAAGGGAAAGGTCGACGTCACGAACGAAATAACTGGTAAGAGGAGGAAATAAAGATAGGAGAAAGGAAAAGATAAAAGATTAAATGTGATATTTCCCTTATTTTCTCTCCTCCCGTCTTGTAGAAATTCTAATTGAGTCACTTTATCAGTCGTCTCATTCTAAAATGAATCACTTTATCAAATTTTATTTTCCATTTCAACTTTTATCACTCTTTATCACTTTTTTTCATCACTTTTATTACTCGAATTAATTAAATCAACTTCCGCTTTCACTTTCTGAAATCACTAAGCGATTAATTTTGTCTTTTAATCATTATAAAGCATAAAATGATTTCGCAAGTTCACTTCAAAGGTACAAGTGAAAAGTCTC